TGACTTGAAATATATGAGCATCACAAAAATGGTCTCCTTTGTTCTTTTTTTGTTTTCTCCTTTGCTTTCATTGTAAGTGCTAGAAGCTGACGCCGTAAGCTTACAGGAAAAGGGGAATTTCGTGGAAGTACTTTGAAAGCATGCGAGCTTTTCCTCTGTGGATAGAATTGAGGATAACATCACTAATATGTTAAGATGTATCATTTGCATTTTACTGGCTGTTTAGAACTGGAGTTATACCTGTGGAAGGGAAGTTATTCCATAAAAATATTTGGGATAAATGTGTTTGAATGGCTGGTTGCTCACTTGGTGTTAGAGTCCTTTTCTCACCTCGGATAGTTGCAAATTGTAATATTTATTTTATGGTCCTAGAAACTCCTTGTCTAAAATCTGGTCTTACTTTACATCATAAGTCTTAACATTACTGAGTCAGAAATGTTGAGAACTGTATTTAATTTTTTTTTTTTTTTTACTTAAAGCAACATAGATTTATTTCTTGTTCATGTTACATGTTCTTTTCTGGTTAGCTAGGGATTCTGCACCTTGACATCTGTACATCATGACTAAAGTCACTTTTCTGGTTAATCAATGTAACATGAGCTTGTTCCATAGCATAAAATAATATTTTATGTCATCTATTATGTAGATATACCGTAACTTTCTTAACAAGGCCCCAGTCATTGCATCTAAGATGGTTTCATCATTTTATTTATTTTTGTATTGAAGTATAGTTGATTTACAATGTTGTGTTAATAGTGATTCGTTTATACATATGTATTCTTTTCCATTGGTTTTGATAGAAACGTTTATTAGTTGTAATTTAGTTAAAAAGAGATATATAAAAGCACATTATTATTGAAATGACTGTAGTAAAAATTATCTTATTATTGTGCATTTGAAACTATTTAGCCCTTGGCCCCATTTGTCCTTGAAATAATTGTTTTTATAAAACTTTTTGATAACATGTGGCTTCTAAGGAATGCAGTTGATGCTGATGGCTAAATATTGGTTTGTTTTTTGTTTTTTTTTTTAACCAAAGAAGCAATGTTTTCAACAAAACAATTCTGAAAAGTTGGTTTTAAAATTTTTAAATGAAGATTCTGTAGCTAATGATCACAATGTGGAAAGAGAAGATGGAAAAAACAAAAACATTAGAAGTTGTTGCTTTATCTTTAAATCATTAGATAAGAATGCATTTAAGGATAGTTGTGAAATTTTTAATATAGGTACTAGTTGAGTGGGAGACAGTAAGTATTTTTTAAGTAATTGTGGAAGATAAAAGTAAACAAAACATAGTTCATGCAAAAGACAAGATGGGAAGAAAACAATAAGGAGTTATTGAAAAGAAGAATGTATAAGTCCAATCAAGCTTAAAAATTATGACAAGTATAAATGGCTTAAATTTCCCCATTCAAATGGAAAGATCTTCACATTAAATTAAAATGAAAGTCTTATGATTTGGTGATGCTTAAAGAATCATACTTAAAGAAGAAATGACATGAAAATACTTTTTAAAAGGGCAAAGACTTTCCAGCGCAACATGCCCACATCTAAATCAGATATAACAATAATGAATATTAAGCAAAGCAGAATTTCTGTCAAAAAGCAGTAAATAAAGACAAAGAGGACTGATTTATAATCATTTAATAATGTAATATTAGTGAAGGAATATGGTACTGAAAAATTATGCATTAAATCATGTTAAACAAAAAATAATTTATACATGCTGTTTTTAATGCAGTAGAACTCACCATAGCAAAATAATGAAAGTAATGTGTATTCAAGCCATGCAAAAGTTTACAAAATTAGAAACTCTCCTAATGAAATATTTCATATTAATAGGTTAAATAAGGAAAAGAAGTAAATGATTACTTTAACAGACTGTGTTTCAAAGCTTTGTATAAAATTTAATACCTATCCTGATTCAACGGTAAAAAGGAAAAATAAACTGTTTCTTCAATATGATGATAAATATTTTCAACTAAGAGTCAACATTAAAATTAATGTAAAAATACTAGAAATGTACATGTGGTATAATGATTTTGCCATAGTGCTCTTATTAAATGTTATGTTAAAAGCCCTGATCAATATAATAAAACACACTAAAGAAAGAAGGACTATACAGAGTGAAAAAAGAAAATCATTATCATTATATACTGGAAATATTTTTATAGCTTGGAAACCCCAAGAAGGGAATGAAAATATGAATAGACTTAATAAATTAATAAAAAGTGAAGACATATGAATATTAACATAAATCAAGGGTATTTCTAAATGTTGCAACCGTGAACTCAAACATAGCCATTTAAAGAGATTAACTTTATAAGAGCAACAAGATATACAAAGTTCTATGATCAGTTTTAAACAGAAAGATGTTGCCTATCTAAATAAAACTTTTAGGAGCCATGGAAATATTAAATTAAACAAAAGACTGGTTTCTGGTTTAAAAGAGAACATATTTTTAAATTGTTAATTTTTTCAAAGTATTGATTTAATGAGGAATCTAATGACAATCTCTTGTTTTTCATATTTTGAGATAATGATGAGAGCAACTTGATTTTGACATAAACCTGGAAAATAAAGTAGGCAAGAATAGCAGAAATCAGTTTTGAGAAAGAAGAATAATAAAAGACTAGTCTTATCAAATTTTAAAATTGATTATAGAGTTATAATACTTAAAACCATGTGATACAGGCACCAACATACATAGATTAATGAGGCAAAATATACCGTCAAAATAAATTATGTTTTGCATAATAATTAAATATTCAATAATTTTAGGATACAAATAGAGAAGGAAATGTCTTACAATACGTGGACTGATTAACAGTTTTGAAAACATCAATTTATACACTCATCACACACACATATAATAAGTTAGCAAAACTCAAACCTTAGAAAGTCCAAAGGGACCTGTTTCGTATAGGATTAGAATACTGTAACTAATTGCAAAGTGAAAGATAAAATCGATTTGATTATATTAAAACAACAATAAAACGAACAGTAGCCTAGGTGCAATTATTTAAACATGACGGAAAGGGTTAATGTGATTATTACACAGAAGCTCATGCAAACTCATAATAGCACAGCTGAGAACTGGTACGTGAGATAAGAACAGAAACACATTTAACTAATATATGAAATAAGACTAAAATCACATTTCACAAAAGATGAAATATAACACATTTGCAAACATTAAAAAAATTCAGCTTTACTAATAACCAAATGAATATCCACTAAAACAAAAATGTTGTATTTTGGTTTAATCAATTATTTTTTAAATGAATATCGAGGATTTACATTCCCAGCTGTTGCAGAGTATTTTCATTTAGATCAGCTCATCCTCTGAGAGCAAGTAGAAAAGCTGGATAAAATCTAGCAAATATTTGTTTAAAGGCATCAGAGAGCTTCAAGGTGGAGAGGGCTTAAGAGGCCAAGAACCTGGAGAGCTAGGAATTCAAGAGAGAGCTCACTTACATAACTACCTGTCAGAAGCTGAAGTAAAACATCACTTGACAATGGATCATCCAAAGGCTCAAATTATCTCTATAAGTTTCCATATGCAGCATCTGGCATTCAATAAAATTACCAGGCATACCAGCAGACAAGATAAAATGACCAAAAACAGACGTACAGGCAATCTGGATGCAGGAGTAACAGACTTTAAAATATCCATGATTAATAAAGAAATTAAGTGAGAAGATGGACAATTTTGGCATGTTACTGGGAACTATGATAAAAATCAGATGGAAATTCCAGAACTGAGAAATTAAAAACTCAATAGACGGGCTTAAGAGCAGATTAGAAGAGCTGGAGAATAGATTGCTAAACTGGAAGGCAAAACCAATAGAAAATGTAATGTTTATATGCAAAGTCAGTAAGGGTACATTGAGAAATGGTTTCTGCTTACATAGATGGTAGCATATAAACCTATATAACACTTCTTGGAAATACTCTGGCAACATAAATCAGATATTGGAACAAAAAAAAAGTGTTTATATCTTTTGACCCAGTAAGCTTATGTCTGGGAATATCTATTAAGAAAATATTTTTTTTAAATGTGAATTGCTTTATGTATGAAGATGTTCACAGCAGACTTACTTATGATAGTAATAACTCTGTGCAGATAATATTTTAATCCACACAGTCAAGCCTCACAAAAACCCAAGGAAGTGCAGGCAGTTACTTTTCATTTCCTCATTTTAGAGATGAGAAAACTGAGACATTTAGAGGTCAAGTAGCTTACTCAGGATTGTGTAGCTAGTGAATAGAGAAGCGAGGATTTGAACTCGGCTGTCTACGTGCACAGCCTGCCCTTTAATCTCTTCTGGGCTGTTGTAACCAACCTCAAGAGGTAACAACTGCAGACTTGCCAAACAAGTCCGGTCTCCTCAGTCTACGCAGTATGACACAGGTGCTAAAAATGAACACCCGTGAACTCTTTTTAGTGACATAGGAAATAGTTCTGATATACTATGAAGAGAAAAAAAAATCATAGAACTACAGAAAATAAAAAAATTTACATATGAATATGACTGAAAGCAAATATTCCCAAAGGCTAACATCAATTCTGTGAAGTTAGTAGCACTTTTCTTCCATTTCTTTTCTTCCGTTTCTCATTTTCTCAAATTGTTAATGATTTAAATTTTAAAAAATATAAATATTAAATATTTAATTTAATAATACTAAATATTTAACAATATGTGTTCCTTATATTCAAAAATATATACCATTATTTATATATTTGAAAAAACTATAAAGTATATTGGCTAAGAGCCTGGACTCTGGAGCCAGCCTGCCTTGTGTCACCACTTACTAGGCGTGTGATGATGGACAAGTTGTTGAACTTTTGTTTCTAAGTTTATCCTGTAAAATGAGGATGATTATAGTACCTACCTCATTGGTTGATTGGGAGGATTAATATACTTTAAATGTATTTAGAACACTGGGTGGAACTTAAATAGGTAAGCACCGTCTACTATTATTATTGTTATTTTACAAATAAACCTCATTGTGCTACAGCTCCTTAGGGACTGGACAAAAACGACATTTCCCTCTAGCCGGTCCTTCGATAGCAACAAGTTTCGTTTCTGTATATAGATCGTTCTTCATCCTTACTATGAATTCCCCAGTGCAGAGATTTCTAGGAACCTACCTACCACTTGTTGTAGGGGGCACTTTTGAACTCTTTCCAAGAAAGATTGACAAAAATCAAACGTCTGTTTTTTATTTTCAAGAAGCATAGTCTCTCTGCTTGTGTCGTATCTCTGAGGACATGTACATGAGTGACTGAAACTGCTCAATGAAGCCAATATTACCATTGATATTAATATCACCAGCCCTGAATTAGAGAAAATATTTATCTGCTGCCTCCATTTCACCTTTCTCTAGATATATGACTTTTTCCCAGCTCCCTGATCTGACAATAGAAAGCTGTTTAAGAAATAGGACATTTGTTGTGACTTGATTTTTCCAAATTTAACACCCTAGGGGACCTGAAGGTGTGCTTTGAAACTTTATTCCACTTGGCAGATCCCCAAAGTTTGGAAGATTTTGGTAGAATTTCTTCATTACTTGAAACAGTTTCAGTGAAAGCAAAAACAAAAACAGAACAAACAAACAAAAAACCCTCAAACAACTGTTAAGATGCCAGGATTTATTAACTGTCTTAATGGCGAACGAAATGATAAGACCTTATAATAACCCCTGACAATTATACTGACAGGTGTTTGCCAGGTAAAATATTGCAGGACCTGTAAGAGGAAAGGATACAAATTGGTATTTTATACCCTTGGGAGAGCAGTCACCTTCAATGAGTCTGTTTGGTTTTCAGGCTGTTGCTGGTCTCTGTTCTTGTAAGACTTCTGCTGCAGAACCCATGCGTGAACCCTCCTAGGTGAGTTAACCATTTCCTTAATGCTTCTGTCTCTTACCTGCCTCTGTCCAGGTTCTATGATATTCATTAATAATGTCCTTTGGTTAAACTCTGTAATAATTTACAGTTCTATATAATATGGGGAATGTTAACAATCTGCTTCAATGTCTGAGTTTTCCATTTTTGCTAAAGTTACTCCTTTTGGGGTTGTTTATGAAAGCATCTTTATCTACCCCACACCCACTTTATTCCAGGATTTACCCCAAACTTTTCACATTCTCTTTTCTAATAGTCATGTTCTGTTATAACACAGTATCACTTGTCATGGCAGATTTACTAAGTCACAAGCCAGCATTTCACAAGTAATGATAACCAGCCACATGAAGAACAAAAAAAGAGTATAGTAATAATGAAATTCCTTTCCTCTTTTGGAAAAATGGATCAAAGTATTCATGCAGCAAGTGGTGAATCAATTACAAGGTATTATTATTACCTTATTAATAATAAGATGAAAGGTGACCTCAAAATTATTGATATAATTTGAACTGATTTCTTATAGAGATAGATGCCAGACAATTTATTATTCTTATAATATAATCGGAGGTGATTTCATGTGTTCATGTTACCACATAAAATTCAATGGAATTGAGTTTGGTCCTCCCTCCAATAGGTCATCAGTATCTGGACTTGGAGAAAATTTGTAAACAATTCTGGGCTTCAGTGTCTTTAGTTGAAAATAGGAACAATAGTCATTGTCTATGAGGTTATGAAAGCAAAATGTCATCACCTAAAACACCTGGCACCCAGCAGTCACTCAGTTCATGCTAGTTTTCCCCATCCCTGTTTATGGAGCTAGGAGTTAAAGAGACAACACACAATTCTGCTTTCGTCTTCAAATACATTCTTCATTGATTGTCTTATGGATATAACCATTGACTCAGAAAGTAGGTGAAATCTTCATCTCTCTAATTTTTGTTCATTTCATACTTTAATGAGCAGCTACTATAAGATAAGAACTGACTGCTTTGGGAGACAAAAAGAAGAGTGAAATATTGATCCTATTCTTAAGGAGATTAGCGTCTAGAAATGGAGGTTATATATTTTTTTTAATACCAGTAGAGAAACAATAAAGTACTATCTTTATAAGAAGTTTTTTGGTTTTTTTTAACTGAAGTATACTTGATTTACAATGTTGTGTTAGTTTCTGGTGTCCAGCAAAGTGATTCAGATATACATATATATATGTTTACATTTTTTTCCTTTTCAGATTCTTTTCCATTATAGTTTATTATATGATATTAAGTATAGTTCCCTGAGCTATGCAGCAGATGCTTGTTGTTTATCTACTTTATGTATAGTAGTTTGTATCTGCTAATTCTAATCTCCTATTTTATCCCTCCCCCCACCTTTCCCCTTTGGTAGCCATAAGTTTTTTTTTTCCCTATGTCTGTGAGTCAATTTCTGTTTTGTAAATAAGTTCATTTGTACTGTATTTTAGATTTCACGTATAAGTGATATCATATGATATTTGTCTTTCTGTGTGTAACTTACTTCACTTAATGTGGTAATATCTCGGTCCATCCATGTTGCTGCAAATGGCGTAATTTCATTCTTTTTTATGGCTGAAAATATTCCACTGCATATATATCACAACTTCTTTATCTAGTCATCTGTCGATGGACATTTAGGTTGCTTCCATGTCTTGGCTATTGTAAATAGTGCTGCTATGAACATTGAGGTGCATGTGTCTTTTCTAATTAGAGTTTCCTAGAAGGAGAAATTATTTTAACTAGGATTATCAGGGAAGGCTTCATGGAGGTGGTAGGGACTGGGCTTTAAAGAAGGGGTAAAATTTGGACAGCAGGAAGGGAGAGAATACAAGTAGCCAAGACTCAAGTTGTGGAATTGGGTGGAAACAACATTGACCTGGGACTGGAAAGACCTGGGTTGGCATTACCTTGGATGAACCACTTCTTCAGTTTCTTCATCTGTGAAATGTGTGAAATGATCTCTACCTGTTGGTCTTTCAGGGCTCTGGAGAAGATCCAATGGGAGACGCAGAAACTCTTTGGAAACCATGAAGCACTCTGTAAATGAAAAGGGTAAACTTCTTCTTCTCTTAATACCATAAACTTCATGAGGGCCAGTCATGTTGGTTTTTTAAAAAGTTAAAGATACTTCTGATGAAGTATATCAAAAAGTCATATTGTAAACCTTAAATATTTATAATTTTTGTCAATTACACCTCAATAAAACTGGAGGGAGAAGTTTGATATAGTAATGAACCATTGATTGAATGAATGAATTCATGAGCATTCTGGACTAAATGTCTGTGTCCCCCCAAATTTGTATGTTGAAACCCCAAACCCCAATGTGGTGGCTATCAGGAGGTGGGGCCTTTGAGAAGTAATTAGGTTTAGATGAAGTCATGAGGGTGAGGCCCCATGATGGAATTGGTGCCATTACAAGAAGAGGAAGAGACCCAAGGATACAGTGAAAAAGTGGCCACCGGCAAGCCAAGAAGAGGGTCCTCACCAAGAACTCAATCTGCTGGCACCTTGATCTTGGACTTCCCAGCCTCTGGAACTGAGAAATAAATGTCTGTTGTGTAAGCCACCCAGTTTATGGTATTTTGTTCTAGCTAAGGCAGTAAGTGAGTGAATAGATGAATGAAACAGAGCAAAGGCGTGGAGCAGGAAGGCATATAGTATGAATGGGGAATAAAAGGCTATCTTTGAAAACACGTGCTGTAGTTGGGTGTTAGGAACATAACTTGTGGCTGGATGCAGTGGGTCCACTAGGCTGGTGGGTCTTGGAGTGTGGTCTGTGAACCAGCAGCATCTATATCCCCTGGGAACTTGTTAGAAATGCGAATTTCTGGGCTCCCACCCAGGCTTTAACTAAATCTGAAACTAAGGGGCGGGGCCAGCAATCTGTAATTTAGCCATTCCTCCGGATCTTTCAGATGCATGCTAAAGTTTTGACTTTGTACTAATAGGGACAGTTTGGAAACTATTCTGCTGGAAATTCAGTGTTAACGAACGTTTCCAGCTGTGGATGGACAGAATCAGAGCTGTATTTCTCAGGTGATGAGGCATGAGATTGTGCTTAAAAGAATTCATGGCTTCAACAGGCACAGGACAGCTGGAAATCCTGGAAAACATGTATTGGCGAAGCCTCAGAGTTGAAGATTTTGGTTTTTCCTAATTCCAGTTAACAGCCAACATCACCTAAGAAGCAGAGCAGGGCAGGCACTTCTCCCAGGCACTGGGCAAAGCTACTTGGTTTCCAGGGACCATGATGGATGAGAATGTTTATGTGAAAGCACAGGAGTGAACAGTCAGATAGGGGCCTGGCTGATCTCGGGGAGGGCTCTTAGACCTGACTAACTGTGGGGAAACCTTCAATGGAACCTTCCAAACCAAGTTAAATGGACTGCTCTTCCTAGACTGAGCTAACTAAATATATGGGGTGCACATGCGACTCTGTCTTCAGGGCTGGTGGAGACAGGTCTGCCAAAAGAGAGGGCATGATATGGAGACGAAAGGAAGAGCCTCACGGGAAAACATTTGTCTTAAGAAGCAAGAATACAAGGGCCAGATGTGGGAGAAGTTCAGGAGAAGCAGAGTGAGAGCTGTTCAGAATGGTTGGGGGCTGCTGGAATGACCAGTCATCTGAGGTTTGCCCAGGACTGTGTAGGGGTACCCCAGGACACAGGGTGTCAACCCAGGACAGCTGGTCACCCTGTAACTACAGTCCCTCCCGTGTGTTTAAAACCCGGGGAGAAGACACGGTGAAAGCAGAAAAATTGCAGCCTTAAATCTTGTGTCTCAACGTGACTGTCTGCAGACTGGCGACATCAGCATCCCCTGGGAGCTTGTTAGAAATGCAGCTGCTCAGGCCCACCCGAGACCTGCAGGATCAGACGTGCACCAGAACAAGAGCCCCGGCTGGTTTGTACGTGTATCAGTTTGCAAAAGCCGGTCTTAGAGGATCCTGGGAGCTCCAGATGGCATCCCCCAGTAGGAGAATGTAGCACTGAGGGAAAAGAAGAGAATTTCTTGGCTGTGATCTGGCTTAGGTCCAGGTCAACCCGATTCTAAGCCCAAACCATATCAGCTTTACCTGGGAAGGGACGCAAGCACCAGGGAAGACGATACACTAGAAGTCACAGAGGGGAAAGGACGGTGATCACAAAATAGCCACGAGGGTCCTCCTGAGCTATTAATAGTTGCAGGGACCGCGAGGAAAGCCAGAAATTCAGCAATCTGTGTGCTGAGAGCAAAGCTGAAGAAACACTTCAGTTCCTGTCGACCGAAAAAATGCGCAACCTAAAATTTGAGAGTTCTGTTTTATTTGGTGGACTTTCTGAGGACTCGAGCCCGGGATGACAGCCTCTCAGATGGCTCTGAGGGACTGCTCCAAAGAGGCACAGGAGGAGCCGATATACGGGAGTTCTGTTGCAAAGACCAGGTAGTCAGAATATCAAAAGATTACTGTTAATTTAAAAAAAAGTTATCTCAAGTTTAAGAATTTAGCGCTTTCTTATGTACGGGAAGCTGCAAAGCTCTGGGCTCACTGAAATTGTTCCTTCGGTACGCACCTAGCTGTCTAGGGCCAGTGTCCTGTTCTTTCCCATCCAGAGTTCCCTCAGGGGGCACTGTAGGGAGTGGCTGCAGAGCCTGGGCTGCTGCTTTTCTCCATCCTGAGGGGTCCTTGCTGTCAGTCGGTGGCGGCAACTAATGACTTGATGGCCACAGCATCCTCTGTTTCATTTTTCATTCACATTCCTATTACTCTGATCCTTTGTGGTTAAAACAGGCTGCGCTGGGCTGGGGAATGAGTGATGCTTAGAAATGTGGAGCCACAGCTCCAGAGGGAAGTTTATGGAGAAAGATTAAAAATCATCCCCACTCAAAGTATTTGGCTTTTAGCATCTGCGCATTGCTCCAATATGCAAAGAAAGTGCATTCATTTTCTTCCTTTTTCCTCTACCCAGTCTGATCTCTTTTCATGGGCTCCAGGTCTGCATTCTAGCAAGGATAATTTGCACTTAATTAATAGTGTTTCATTTTCCTCCAGCTCGAACGTAACTCTTTCACTTAAAACACTCTAACCAGTAGCTGTTAAACTCAGATGTGCAGCAGAGTCACCTGGAGGGCTCGTTAAAACACAGATTGCCGGGTGCACCCTCCAGGGTTTCAGTACACTGGGTGGAGACACAGAAGTTGCGTTTCTAAGGAGTTCCTGGGTGATGCTGATACCGTAGGTCCAAGGAATACACGTTGACAAGCTCTCATTCAAAGTAGTCAGCATTTTATTCCCATGCAAAGGTGATGATTTCAAAACCATCACCTTTCAGGTAGATTGATCAGCCTGTCTGATGGATCGTTGGTCAAGTACATGGTCTTCCTGCAGCTGTCAAGGATGCAGCCAGTGGTGTAAGTAACTCGCCGTGAGAGATTAACACACCTAAACTGGTCTACATCTTGTTCACCAAGACTAGTCCACCGATCGCATGCTAAGATGTCATGGCAATGCCCATTTATGATATGAATTTCTAAATATGAACTTACCTGTATTTATCTCTCAGAACCACGTTTGCAGCTCTTCTGTAAATACAGTTATTTCCAAATAAACCTAATGAAGGGAAACCTTCACAACCTGGGTCATAAGTGGAATATATATCTGTTCTATGGAAAGAGCTTATGGTCTGCATCCACCTGCTTCATGATATGATAAAAGGGGGAAAGATGGGGCTCGGAGAAAATCTTCTCTTAACAAATCTTGGCTTTCAAGTCTCTTATCTTTTGCAGAATAAAATATTTTATTTTGGGTGTTGTAGGCAGAACATTAACTTTTTCCCTTTCTCTGTACAATCTTGCTGTAACAAAACGAATCCCCATAACCTGAACATGGACTTCTTCAGACAATGAAGGAGGTCTTATACATAGACAGTAGATTAATGTAAATTCCCAGATGATGCTTTGCTGTCAATCTCTGAGTACCAAGAACTGGGGCTCTTTCTGAGTTATCTCCTCTTCCTTTGACACAGTAAGCATCAGGAAAGTGCTTACTGGACAGAGGCTTAAAGACAAATGGGAAATGCACAGTGCCTCTGTAAGTCCAGAAATGAAATAAAAGTTAAAGGAGAAACACATTAATCAAAATATGGCATTATTTCATTCTTTTTATGGCTGAATAGTATTCCATTGCATATATACACCACATCTTCTTTGTCTAATCATCTCTTGGTGGACATTTAGGTTGATACCATGACATTTGCAGCAACATGGAAGGACCTAGAGATTATCAGACAAAGACAAATATCATATGATATCAATTATATGTGGAATCTAAAAAAAAAAATGATACAAATTCTATTTACAAACAAAAAACAGACTCATGGACATAGAAGACAAACTATGGTTACCAAAGGGGAAAGGGTGGGAAGGGATAAATTAGGGAGTTTGAGATTTGCGAATGTTAACCACTATATATAATAATAGCCATTAGTGAAAAAGAATAAGAAAATGAATATACGTATAACTGAGACAGGATGCTGTACACCAAAAGCTGATACATTGTAACAAACTGTACTTCAATAAAAAAAGAGGCCGTGTTGCTTGTCTTAGCGATACATATTATCCAATTTGCAGAAAATAGAAATAATATTGCAAACAGCAAAAGGAGATCCGGTGTGCTGATTCCTGTGTCCTGGTGGGCACACACAGTCCTGTTTAGGACAAATATCCCCTCCCTTGGACTATTGCCCTGCCAAGCAGACCACTTATGTGATCTTTGGCTGTCTTAATGTCTCTTTGGGGACCAATAGTGTTTCTTTTTCCCTATATGCCAACTTTGTCTCCTTTACACTTGAAGAATTCAGTATTTGTTTAAGAATAGTTCAAGAATCCAATATTAGTTTAAAGGACTTTTCAACTTAGAACAAACTTGTAGAGATTTAGTCACTCATGATTGATGTTAGGCAAACAGAAAAAAAAAATGAAGGTTGATTTCATCCTCTGCCTTTCAGAACTTTAGAGGGGAAAGAATGTAGACTGTTTTTCAAAACTGTTCAAAGTTTTGCAAGTAACTTAACATTGCTCTTCTGGTTTTTAGCTATGGAAATGGGTACATGTATATATATCAGCTTCTTTTTTCTTTAAGGACTTGTGTTCATTTCTCTTCATATAAACATTTATAATTAGACATTATTGAATTGTCATCTTAATGTTGCACACGAAATAAATCTGATGTGTGTATTAACAACAAAGACTTATGTTCCAAACAGGAAGGACTAATTCATGAAACCAAATTTGAAGTTCAAGCAGAATTGTTATTAACGAATTTGTATTTCCCTTCTTGGCCCTTTTGGTCTTTGTGCAATGTATACATAACTACAAATAAAGAACTAATGATTACATTTCTACAGGGAAATTTATTTTACATGTGGCAACTGTCCCTCAGTTGTGCGTGTGCAACTGTTGGCTGATCCAGATTCTTTTTTATAAGGAAAAAAACTGGTGAATCTGAAATAAAAGTGCAAAATATCATCTTTCATGCAAATATACTAATCATGCCAAAGAAAGCAAGAAAACTTACTTAAAAAAAATTGTTTTTGACAAGAGATTACAAGTGGGAGCCTAATAAGTAAACTTTATTTTTGTTCTTTCTTGAAGTTTTTTACCTCGGACTACCTTCTACTTTCCCTGCAACTTACACTAAATAATGCGGGTTGTTGTGCATTTTTTATATCAGGAAGCAAATGTTAAAAAATTAATCAAAATTGCAGGGAAAAGGGCACTCCCATAATAGAAAAAAAGAAAATGCAGCTTTATTTCATCATCTTTTTGGAGACTCAAGAAGGGAGCAAGTTTCCTTTAAAAATATGAGATGATAT